ACGCGAATTTCGCAATGCGAAATAAAAATCGCAACGAGGGAATCACAATGCGAAATGAAAATCGCAACGCGAATTTAATTTCGCATTGCGATTCTCTCGTTGCGATTTTCATTTCGCGTTGCGATTTTCATTTCGCATTGCGATAGTACTTTTTACCTTCAACATAATGCATATTGAAATCAACAAAATCAACCATTATATTTCAATCAATTAAACAAGCACAAATAAGAATTATGTTAACATCAATTAAACAAATCAACTTTTACAAATCACCTTTTACAAATAAATTAAACAATCAAAAAATAAGCAATAATTCTTATTTCCTCATCTACTATTGAATCAACTTTTGCAGCCATACATCATTTTCACGCAGCTCACTTCTGAGATTAACCTGCATAAACCAAACATTTGCTCAAACAACACTTTCTACACATCTAAAACCTACAAACAACAAATTATTGAATTCTAGGTACTTAACCAAACATTTTCAAACCACAAGCCTATAAACATACCAATTGTTTATGGACATTTTTATAACGCAGATGCAGGTAGGCAGCGTCTCGTATATATCGATCTAGCTATATAATGCCGAAACCACAAGCCTACTGCAGCTCTATCTCTATCGGTGGGAGGTAGATACTTTATACTTCCTGTGATCAAACGGTCCAACGCCAAGCATACGAGAGGACTACAATCCCCTCCGGGTCCTTTCGTTTGTTGTGGTGCGGTCTCGTCTCTGCTAACTGTAATATTGAGCTTCTTTGGCTTCTTGTTTCCAGAACGAGTCCAATAATTTATCGCATCCAAGAATTTAGCCAAATAAGAGCTCCATCCCTTAATAATATCTCTTAAATCAACCAATGATATGTAATTTATCATGCTGTCATATACTATTGCCTTAAGGGATGGGATCTGAAGCTCGACGAGAAGCCAATGTTTACGTTCCAAAACAGGGATAAACACCTGCAATCATAAGTAATAATTCATTCATTTGCGCACTTATTTATGAATACCTTTAAACTCAATCTAAAATAAACACTAACCTTATCGACCTCCCACCATGCAGGATAAAGTTTAGCTTGTCCATTGCCCAACGCAAATGATTCATCTCGTTGATTCTTCAAGTGAACGGCGTTAAAAGATGTCGGCATAATTGTATATCGTGTATTTCTTTTATTTTCCTTAAGTTTCCTAATTATTAGAAGACGTAACACCCACACATCGATATGCTGTTTTACAAAAAAAGACATATATTAGTAACTTACATAAATTTAAAAAAAAAAATAATCAAATTAAAATATAAGAAAAATATAAGACTTACCCCTCCATCAAAATAGCCATTGTCTTCGACCCCTAATAATACGCCCCACCAAGACCGATCAAGCAACAAATAGATATCATCGTTGAGCTTGCATATGTCAGTGAAACACCCTTGGCTCCGCTCATGTAGATAAAAATCAACTGCGGTCTTAGCCCAAAGGGTGTTATCCAGAATTGTGTCCGGTAGTTGTTTCCTCTCCACTTCAGATACCGGTATGGTACTGGCCGGTAACTCATACGAGAGCCAACTTGAATCCATCATGTCCGGCACGTCAGAGGGTTTCTCAAGAATCCTACATATGACTCCATGTGAATCGGGCTCTTGAATGGTGGGATGGACCTCTTCAACGATGACAGTGGCCTCTTGAACGGTGGGAGGGGACTCTCGAGGAATGATAGGGGTCTCTTCAACGATAGGAGTGGACTCTTGAGGGATGACAGGCAAGTCGGGCTTCTTCTTGCGGTGTCTTCGCACTATTGGGGTATACGGAGACTTAATAGCACGTGCACGCCGTCTGATGCGTGAACTCTGTCGTGCAAGAAAAACCCGACGTAAAGCATCCACCTTATCGGTCCGCTAAATAATTAAATACAAATATCAGTAAATAAACAGACATGATATTTAAACAGTGAAAACAAAGACAAATATATTTCAAACTTTCAACCAAAAGACAAAACAAAGACAAATACTAACTTCATAGTGTTAAAGAATACACAGTTTAGCAGAATTTGCAGCAACCGAATAAATTTACTTCAACCAAAAGACAAAACAAAAAGACAAATACTAACTTCACAGTGTTAATAAACAGTTTAGAAGTATTGGCAGCAACCGAATAAATTTACTAAGCAATCTAAGTGAAATGGTTAATTTAAGTGAAATTACGAGTAAATTTATCATCAAGTTAAATATGGAAAATCTTAAACTTACCTCGTTGCGTAGAGTATGAACCTCATTCTGCAACGATACTACCATCTCACGTAGAGCGGCAACCTCACCACGTAAAGTAGACACCTCCACACGCCATGCACCATCGTTATCGCGTAGAGTACCGATCTCCTCACGCAAGGCATTGACTCATCACGTAACTCCCTTGACTCATCCCGTGGAGGTGGAGAACAGGGAGATAGAAGTCGTGGCATCTTTGCCGGTCGCCTATCATGAGGTGATGGTGGAGAAGAGGCTCGATGATGTGACGGGATAGGTGATGGCTCTCGTTGTAGAGGTGTATAGTCGGGCCGATCAGGTGATGGCTCTGGGTGAGGTGATGGCTCTCGAAGTGGAGGAAGTGGAGGCTGCTCATCATTCGTGCCATCAAGAAAACGCTGACTAGCTTGCCACCAATCAGTGGCAAGCTCAGTCTCCGTGGGTGTCAGTCTCATTAATGGAATGTTGGCCTCCTAAAAATATAAAAACTCAAACAAAGTTAAACATCTACTATTAATAACTTGTTTATATATGATAGTATTTGTGTTAACTTACATTATTTATTGTCGCATATGGTATTAAGTCTTCCCAATCCAACAGGCGTTTCCTCTTCCAGGAAATAGCCCTAGGAATATCATTTGAGGTTTTTAATGCATATGTCCGCATGCTGGGGAAAGCCTCGAATATCCAAATCTACAAACAATATAATAACAAACATTAGTAATTGTTAAATAATTAATTATAATTTTGAAAACATTATATAGAAATTCTTACCTTAAAGGCCCAAATAAAGCCTGACAAAGTGTATTTCGACCCATCGCCCAGCAAACTTTTGCGGTCATCAAAGGCAGACGACAACTTAGTCCAGGTAGTTTTCCATATATACGAACCCCACGGAAACAGATTCCATGCATTTAGGTCCTCTACCAATAATATTAGCTCCTGAGGAATAGGTTGTCTGGCCTCTCTGCCTAAAAAGTCGGCATACAAAAGTAGTAGAAGGCATACTCGGACAACATCGACGTCATTCATCCGAGTAAAACCATCTTTCTTATTAAACAATTTCTTCATGTCGTCGACGTGTAAGTTCGGTTTCTCTATTGACTCATCAGGAAAAACCCTGGATAACCATGATGGGCGGGTGATATGACGAGTGTACCGGCCTACATCATCGTGTCCGAATCGTAGACTAGTGATTAAGCAGAACTCCTTCCGCCCAAAACAAGTATACGCCGGTGGAAAATGAAACCATATCTCTTCCTCACCATGTTGTATACTGTCGGGTAGATCGCTAGTCATGGTCTGAAGCCACAAATGGGTCAAATTAGCATCTCCACCCGGATGTTGTACTCTCAGCCATGGCCCGAAGCAGGTTTCCTCAAACAATTTTCTTTGTGCAGGTGAAAGCTTCGAAGCAATTGTAGTGGCTATGCTAACTTTATTCCTTAATGTCAATGAAGCCGAAAAAAATTTCTATAAAAACAATAAACATACCAAGTTAGATATACCAAAAACTACACTGTCAAGATATACCAAAAACAATAAACATAAATAGTAGTTTATTCTTGAAACTAAAATTTGCAACACTGTTTTGTCTTTTGGTTGAAATGAAAATCGCAACGAGATAATGAGAATCGCAACGCGGAAATGACTATCGCAACGAGAGAATCGCAACGCGAAATAATTATCGCAACGAGAGAATCGCAACGCGAAATGAAAATCGCGTTGCGATAGTTATTTCCGCGTTGCGATTTTCATTCTCGAAACTATTCTTCTTCTGCATTACTTCAACCAAAAGACAAAACAAAGACAAATACTAACTTCACAGGCTAAACAGTTTAGCAGTATTGACAGCAATCGAATGAATTTAATAAGAAATCTAAGTGAAATGGTTAATCTATTATTGAAATTACCAGTAAACTTATCATCAATCTCAATATGAAAAACCTAAAATAATGCAAAATTTTAAAAAAAAAACAAAAAAAAAACAAAAAAAAAACTAACCCTCGGAGGTTGATTTTCCATTTCTGAATGATTGTGAGAGATTTTTTACTGTGAATGGTTGTGAGAGATTTCGCCGGCGATGGGGCCGGAAATCTTCGGAGATGGGGACGGATTTCGCCGTAGAGAGTGAGAGATGGAGATGGGACTAAGTGTTGTGATTTTAGGTTTGAGGTATGAGTTGCGATTACTGTGGACGGTTCAGTTTCCGATTTATTAAGAAAAAATTCGTGTTTGGAATTTGAAAAAAAAATACGCGTTAATACGAATGGCGCTATGTAAATCGCATTGCGATAGTAAGATTCGCATTGCGATTTACGTATTCGCATTGCGATTTTCCTAATTCGCATTGCGATTTACTTAATCGCGTTGCGATTTACGTATTCGCATTGCGATTTACTTAATCGCGTTGCGATTTACGTATTCGCATTGCGAATTATGAAAATCGCAACGCGAATACGTAAATCGCAATGCGAATTAGGAAAATTGCATTGCGATAGTCAGTATCGCATTGCGATTTTCCAAATTCGCATTGCGATTTACTTATTCGCATTGCGAATTGGGAAAATCGCAACGCGAAAATGGAAAATCGCATTGCGATAGTCATAATCGCGTTGCGAATATGGAAACTGATTTGCGATAATGGAGATCGCGTTGCGAATTAGCTATCGCATTGCGATTTTGTTGGTCATTTTGGCAAATCCGGAAAAAGTTGGTTAAAATCGTATATTATATGGGATTTTTGCCACTGAGATTATTTTCTCTTCTTTAATATATTCTACCAACAATAATACTATCATTTCATTTGCAGAATATCCAAGTACCTGTTCTTCGTAAGCAGCCAACGCCATGGATTGTTTGGATTGAGTCTTTGATGATATATGAGAAGGGATCACAGATAATGAAACACCATTGTTGTTCCTTCGAGCATGAGAAGATGGTGGTCTAGGACCAGCGGTAGAACCCTTGGTTGTGCATTGATGTGCTTCTGATTTCTTGCTTGCTTCCTTTCCACCTTTAGAAGCCTCCCTCCTTTCTATTGGATTGTAACTAAAAGAAAAGCAAATACTCATTCATAGATCTTTTCACTTCTTATTCACGAATAGTGAAACCGTTTACTATAAAACTGCAACAGTAAAGTATCACGAATTTTAACAAAAGACAAGTTAGCCAAACGAACCGCAAAACTAAAGTAGTTAACAGAAGGCCAATTATTCTGAAAATTTAACATTATATTAACTTGAAATTAAACAGGGGTAAAGAAAAACAATTTACAAAGAGAACAGAAAACCCACAAAAGAAGGTCAATTAACTAAAATCATTCGCCGACAGAAAATAAATTTAGGGTTTGAAAGAGATTTACTTATGAAGACCGCCTCCATTGACAGAATCGAAATATCTTTTCATCCATTGCATGAACTCCAGATTATCAAGCGGCCTGCCTTTCACCAGCTTGCTCACTTCGATATGCTAAAACCGCCAGAAAATTAAATCAAAATTTAAAACAACGAAAGTATTAAAAAAACAAATTCCAACAAAATTAAAATTAAAAAAAAACCTTAGTGATCTTGAGTTTGTTAAAGACATCTTGTAGGACTTTGTAATTTTGAATCATCTCGTATTCATTTTTGGCATCGAAGTTGACTTTGTGCATGGGCACCATACCCGGGAGAACTGAATCCATCAGCTGGCAGTGAATTGCACCAGAACTGTTGAAAATCCGTGCCAACTTGCACCGAAAGCTACGAAAAAAATATATAACTCCACCGAATGGTGGAATTGTCAAAAGAAGTGTTAATTGTTGAAAAATGGTAAATGCACACTCTTACATTTAGTCATTGTACTTTAGGGTATTTTCAAGATTAGTCATTAAACTTCAACTATAAATACCTATCTCATTTAGTTTAAAAACCATCCCAAATCATTCTAGCTTTCTTCCAATACTAAAGAGAATTTAGAGAGTTTCTTGAGAGTTGTTTTCTCCTTTTTACCAAGAGAGAATTATCATTGTTTTCTCCTTGGTAGATCGAGAGAGGTTGTAATTCCTATTTTCTCATAGTTAAATTCTTCTACCGTTGCCCGTGGTTTTTACCCTATATTATATAAGGGTTTTCCACGTAAATTTTGTGTCTTCTTTATCTTCATTTTTATTTTCTCAAATTATCAGTTACGATTTTGCTCTATCCGATAGCCGTCTTCCGTAACAATTGGTATCCGAGCTAGATTAGAGTGTGTAATATCTGCTTATTATCTTTGTGGTTGCCACCAAAAGGTGGATCCTCCAACATAAGAAAATAAGAAGTTATTACCCATTCTTTGAAGGTTCCAGAGAACTATTCACGATAGTGAAATAGTGGCAGCTATCCGTAGAAGAAGCTATGACAACGAAATTTGATATTGAGAAATTCAATGGGAGAAATTTCTCATTGTGGAAATTAAAGAAAATCGGCGCAAGAACAAGGAAGACGGACAAGTAAATCTGCAACAAGCAGAAGCGTTGACAACGATGAGAGGGAGATCAACAGAATGTGGCCAAAGCAGCAGTCACAAACATGGTAGATCAAAGTCGAGGAGCAAGAAGAATTTAAAGTGCTACAACTGTGGAAAGAATGGTCACTTGAAGGATTGTTGGAGTCTAAATAAAAACTCCAATCCACAAGGTAATACCGCAAACACTTCAGATGATGGAGATGCTTTATGCTGTGAAGCGTCAACCACCGTGGAAGGCAGAAAAAGATTTGCAGATATATGGCTCATTGATTCGGGAGCGACATATCACATGACCTCAAGAAGAGAATGGTTCCATCATTATGAACCTGCCTCAGGAGGATCTGTGTATAGTTGCAATGATCATGCCTTAGAGATTGTTGGTGTGGGAACCATCAAATTAAAGATGTATGATGGAACAATTAAAGTTGTTCGAGATGTACGGCACGTGAAAGGCCTGAAGAAAAATTTATTATCCTACGGATTGTTGGATAATAATGCTAGCAAGATTGAAACACGGAAAGGAATCATGAAGGTGTTCCGTGGAGCGCTTGTGGTGCTGAAAGGTGAAAAGATAGCTGCAAACTTGTACATGCTGAAGGGAGAGACATTGGTAGAAGCAGAAGCCTCTGTTGCCTCATGTAGTTCAGATTCTGCAATGTTATGGCATAAGAAACTTGGACACATGTCAGAACAAGGAATGAAAGTTCTTGTGGAGCCAAAAGCTACTTCCAGGCTTAACAAAGGTATCACTTACTTTGTGTGAGCATTGCATAACAAGTAAGCAATACCGGTTGAAATTAAACACATCAAATTCTAGAGGCAAAAGTGTTATAGAATTGGTTCACTCTGACGTATGGCAAGCACCAGTAACATCCCTAGGTGGAAAAAAATACTTTGTCTCATTTATTGATGACTACTCCAGGAGATGTTGGGTGCACCCTATTAAGAAGAAGTCAGACGTGTTTTCAACTTTCAAAAACTTCAAAGCGCGAGTGGAACTTGATTCTGGAAATAAGATCAAGTGTTTCAAAACAGATAATGGAGGAGAATACACAAGCGAAGAATTTGATGACTTTTGCAGGAAAGAATGCATCAAAAGACAGTTCACAGTGGCGAACACTCCTCAACAAAATGGAGTGGCAGGGCGGATGAACATAACCATTTTAGAAAGAACAAGAGCAATGTTGAGGGATGCAGGCCTAGAAAAATCATTCTGGGCAGAAGCAGTCAATACCGCCTGTTATCTTTGTAGAAGATAAGCTACAAAGAAAAGAAGAAGATGGTAGCGCTGAAAAGTCAGAGACTACATAGATACATGTGGAAAAGGAGTTTGAACAAGGAGATTCTTTTGAAGCAGAACCAACACATGATGAACAAGAACCAGAGAGTTCTGAAGCTCCAACAACTCGTCAATCAGATCGTGTGAAAAGACGTCCCAATTGGCACTCAAATTATGTTATAGAATGTAATATTGCATACTGCATTTTAACAGAGGACTGTGAGCCATCAACATACCAGGAGGTAATAAACAGCTCATATGCTTCACTATGGATGATAGCGATGCAAGAGGAAATTGAATCCCTTCATAAAAATAAAACATGGGACCTTGTGCCACTACCACAAGGAATGAAGCCAATTGGTAACAAATGGGTCTTCAAAATCAAGCGAAATGGTGACAATCAAGTTGAGAGGTATCGTGCAAGACTGGTGGTCAAAGGATATGCTCAAAAAGAAGGTATTGATTTCAATGAAATATTTTCTCCTGTGGTTCGACTAACAACAGTTCGAGTAGTTTTGGCAATGTGTGTTATATTGGACTTACATCTAGAGCAGCTAGATGTTAAAACAACTTTTCTTCATGGAAATCTTGAAGAAGAAATTTATATGCTCCAGCCTGAAGGTTTTGAAGAAAAAGAAAAGAACTTGGTTTGCAGGTTGAACAAATCTCTGTACGGTCTAAAGCAGGCGCCGAGGTGTTGGTATAAGAGATTTGATTCCTTCATTATGTGCCTTGGATACAACAGACTTAATGCAGACCCTTGTGCTTATTTCAAGAGGTCTGGTGATAACGATTTTGTTATATTGTTGTTGTATGTGGATGACATGTTGGTTGCAGGACCCAACAAAGATCATATTGAAGAATTGAATGCACAACTGGCTATAGAATTTGAAATGAAGGACTTGGGATCAGCAAACAAGATTCTAGGGATGCAAATTCACCGAGACAGAAGTAATAGGAAGATTTGGCTTTCACAAAAGAATTACTTGAAGAAAATCTTGTCACGATTCAACATGCAAGATTATAAGCCAATTTCTACCCCTCTTCCTATTAACTTCAAATTATCCTCCAGTATGAGTCCTAGCAGTGAAGAAGAGATGATGGAGATGTCTCGAGTACCGTATGCATCAGTAATGGGAAGTTTAATGTTCGCTATGATATGCACAAGACCAAACATTGCACAAGCAGTGGGAGTGGTTAGTCGGTACATGGTGAATCCAGGCAAAGAGCACTGGAATACAGTGAAGAGGATCCTGAGATACATCAAAGGGACCTCAAATGTTGCATTATGTTACGGAGGATCAAACTTACTTATCAATGGGTATGTCGATTCTGACTATGCAGGGGATTTAGATAAAAGCAAATCTACAACAGGATATGTGTTCAAAGTTGCTGGTGGAGCTGTAAACTGGGTTTCAAAATTGCAGTCAGTTGTGGCTACATCCACAACAGAAGCAGAATATGTAGCAGCTACACAAGCCAGTAAAGAAGCAATTTGGTTGAAGATGCTATTGGAGGAGCTTGGGCACAATCAAGACTATATCTCTCTGTTTTGTGACAGTCAAAGCGCCTTGCATCTAGCAAGGAATCCAGCATTTCATTCAAGGACAAAACACATACAAGTTCAATACAATTTCATTCGTGAAAAGGTGAAAGAAGGGACGGTAGATGTGCAGAAGATCCATACCAAAGACAATATAGCAGATTTCATGACGAATGCGATCAATACTGATAAATTTACCTGGTGTCGATCCTCTTGTGGCCTGTCAGAGACGTAAGCAACATGAAGGTACAAGGTAGAAAGAATGGTGTGAAGATATGATTATTCCAATCAAATCTTCAAGTGGGAGATTGTTGAAAATCGGTGCCAACTTGCACCGAAAGCTAGGAAAAGATATATAACTCCACCGAATGGTGGAATTGTCAAAAGAAGTGTTAATTGTTGAAAAAATGGTAAAGGTACAATGTCACATTTAGTCATTATACTTTAGGGTATTTTCAAGATTAGTCATTAAGCTTCAACTATAAATACCCTAGCTCATTTAGCTTAAAAACCATCCCAAAGCATTCTAGCTTTCTTTCAATACTAAAGAGAATTTAGAGAGTTTCTTGAGAGTTGTTTTATCCTTTTTACCAAGAGAGAATTCTCATTGTTTTCTCCTTGGTAGATCGAGAGAGGTTGTAATTCCTATTTTTCTCATAGTTAAATTCTTCTATCGTTGCCCGTGGTTTTTACCCTATATTATATAGGGGTTTTCCACGTAAATTTTGTGTCTTCTTTATCTTCATTTTTATTTTTCATTTTTGGCATCGAAGTTTACTTTGTGCATGGGCACCATACCCGGGTGAACTGAATCCATCAGCTGGCAGTGAACTGCACCAGAACATGCCTGAAAAACGCACCGGATCGAAAAAAACATGAACAAAATTCTTATTTTTCTATTTTGAATCAAAATTTGGAGAGGAAAGAAAACAGAAGAAAGAAACCTCTTCCACTCTGGACAGATTGAGATGGAGAGTGGAGTTGATCCAAGCAAGAATCTCATATCTTCCTACGAAGTAAGCCCCATCCATCATTCCAATATTCGTCGCCATTGCTCTCTCTTCTTCTTCTGGAAACCAAAGACTTTATCTTTCTCTTGCTTTTTAGTTTCCTTTTAAAGGCTATGGGAGTTTGAAAGGTTTTTTTAAAATGAGAAGAGCGATATCTTTTTGCAATTCAAAAACCGAAGGCTAGCTTAGCCGCCCTAGAAAAAGACCGGAACCGCCAGTCCATTAAAAATAGACCCAATATGAAGCCCAAATTTATTGCGTCTTTGTATTAGGTATTCATTCGTTTGAATCATATAAAAATTAGGGTAAACTGTCTATTTGATCACCCTTCTATTACTTTGTTTCTATTTTGATCATCTAACTATTTTTTTTTAAATCATAACTAACGTTACGTTTTGATTTTGTTTTGGTCATCTGCTGTCGAAAAATTAATGGATGATATTTTTTACTTTTAATAAAAGTCAACATATTATATTTGTTAAAAGATAGATAACACAAAAGTATCATGTCTTGTTATGCAATTTCTAACTTAACCCACTTTAAAACAAAAGTTTAGATAGAAAAAAATAAAATAAAATGAGAATTATAAGCCAGTCATTACATACATTTCTGAATCCAAGGGCTTTCCAAATTTTTATCCAATGGTTTATTGATATCCATAGTCGTGTGAAGATGAGATTTTGTCAAGCAATTGTAAGGCTTCTTTCATGGTGGGTCTCTTTTGTGGGATTGGAGATGCACAACTGTACCCCAACTTGAAACAAGCCAGCAATGCATCCTCTTTGCCCTCTAAATCCCCACGAATCCCCGTATCAGCCATTCTCAATGCCTTGTTTTGGTCCTCAATCACAACCCCATTCCCCTGCCCCAACTCATCCACAACTATAACTTTCCCCGTTAGAAGCTCAAGCAAAATCACCCCAAATGCGTACACGTCCCACTTCGGGTTGGGCTTCAGGCTCCGAAGCGACTCCGGGGCAAGGTAAGGCGATACACTGATGGAGCTCGGGCTTGGACTTGGACTAGGACCACTCGTTCTTGGAAGCTATCCCTCGACGCCTTCGACCTGTTACTACCGAAATTTCGAACCGATGTCCCTGCTTTAGAGCTTGTATCTCCCGTTATGAGCCTTTCAAGACCGAAATCACCAATCTTGGGCTCCATGTTAGAGCCTAAGAGGATATTGCTGGGCTTCAAATTGGCATGCACGTGTTTCTTCTCGTGGAGATACGCTAGCCCACGGGCCACGCCTTTAGCAATCTTTAGCCGAGTCTCCCATGGAAGATGACAAGGTGAAGAACCAACTTTTCCTGCAAAAAAAAAAAAACATAAGAGTAAATATCTCAAAAATGGGTTTTCCTATGTAAACGTCAATCCTGGGTTGACTTTACCCATGCATGAACGATAACGTCTTAGTTACACCTACTACACCGTCATGACGTGCACATGTTTTTTACTTTTCAAAGTTCAAAGGGGGGGGAAAGGGCTCACTGTTATAACGAGCGTTGGAGAGGCTGCCGTTTGGTACAAAATCGTAGATAATGAGCTTTTCATCGAGTCCCCAATAGAACCCACGTACCCTGACCAAATTGGGGTGGACCAGTTTAGCAATGGCTCTAACCTGAGTCTCGAAATCCTTCAAACGTTCCACACTGTTCTCATCGATCCGTCGGACCGCCAACGAGGATCCGTCTTCGAGCACGACTTTGTACATGATATTAGACCCCGTGGCACCTAATATGTATGCTGACGCTTTGAGTAACGTGTCTAAGTCGAGCTTCTTTTCCCCATCGACGGTCACAAATGTCCCTTTCTTGCCATGTTCTTGCTCGTGCTGCTGTTGATTATCTTCTTCTTCTTCGGTGTCGGATTCTTCTTCGTACTCTCCTCTCTTCCTCAAACACGACCATCTCGAAAACCCTCTTGATTCCAACGATGGAAATGTTAAAGACCGATTGTCTTGGGCTGTATTAGCTTCTTGCTTCACTGTAGTCTCGAGTAGTACTCTCTTTTTGGTCTTTATTTTGTAGATGAGAAAGAAAACTATGATTATGAATCCAATTCCTGCTATATCTCCAACTATGATTGCCACTATTGTCCCAGGTTTGAGCTTGTTTCCTGATGATTTTTTAGCTCCGGTGTCCGGCGTCTTCGGGATGGCGGCCATTGCTGGTGGGGAAGTTGGTGAAGGACTTGGACAATCACGCTTGGTTACTTTGCCACACAGAAGAGGATTTCCGGAAAAACACTCGGGTTCACTGTTCTTGAAAACAACAGAATCCGGGATTTCTCCCGTGAGATTATTGAAAGAAAGATCAATGGTGGCGTTACCAGGAATTTTTTCGGCGAATTCCGGCGGGATTTCTCCGGAAAGCCTGTTGTAAGAAACGTTGAAGTACTTGAGATTGTTGCCTCCGAATTTTCGAGGTAAAGAGCCTTGGAGGAGATTGGAAGAGAGATCTAAAACTTGAACTGATTGAAACCCAGTTGGAAGATTGCCTGAAAAGTAATTGTTCTTCAAAGAAACAACAGTTAGATTCAGGATAGTAGTGAGACTTGCAGGCAAAGTACCCGTCAATACATTGTCGGAAAGGTTAAGGACTTGAAGGTTTTGCAAAGTTCCGATCGTTTCTGGTATTCCACCGGCGATCAAATTGTTCGACAAGTCAAGAAACCGAAGCTTAGTCGAATTGAACAACGAAACTGGAAGAGACTCATTTAGTGAATTGTTGGATAGATCAAGACTATGAAGGTGCTCAAGCATGCCCAGATCGGATGGAATAGAACCAATAAGCTGACAAGTAGGAAGAGACAAGCCCGTCACTCGAAGGTATCCATCAATGGAGTCACAGGCTACTCCGTTCCATGAACAAGGCGTCTGGTCAACGAAATTCCAGCTTTGTAGAACGTTTAAAGGATCACTGGCAATCAAATACCTGAAAGAAAGCAAGAGAACCCCATCTGTGTTTATCCCTAGAGATTGAACCACAAGAAACTCAAGAACAAAGAGAACTCTCCACCATGACTCGAGTTTAAAACTGGGGAAGAAGTTCATGGTTTTTCGAACTGACCACACATTTCTTGCATGAAGAGAGAAAGGGAAAGGAAAGAAGAGATATAAACAGAGAAGGGAACTAAGAGAAATAACTGAGAGTTTCATTTATGTCCATGAAGTTGCAGAGAGGCCATGTGATGGAAGGTGGCTGGAAAAAAAGAGAGGCGAGAAATACACAGATCCGTAACACAAACTTATCTAATATCGCCAAATATGTTCTGGATTGACTGCTCTCTATGTGAATATATATTTACAGGGGATAGAATATAATTACACTGTTTAAATTCTACATGTAATTATCATACATAATTATAAATGTATGAGTGAAAATAAACACTTGGAATAATTAATACTTTTTCGTCTAATAACTGGTGTCTTGTGTTGATCAATTATATAGTTGTAGGAGACAAGTTTAACAAAATGTTAAATTAATATAAAATGAGATAAATGATAAAATTATTCTTAAAAAGTGATTGATATATTTAACATATTTATTTTGGTAGGTGTAAAATAATGAGACAAATAAAAGTAAAAAAAAAGAAATATAAATATTGTTATTTGTTGAGTTTTCTAATAGAATATTTTAAATAAGACAAATTTAAAATTCAAAATAGATAAATTTAGTAGGATGAATGAAGTAGTAAATGAAAATACATTCATTAGAAAAAAATTTACTCAACGGTCATAAATTATGTAACACTAAAAAAATTGTATTATGTAATTTTTAAGGTTCGCTAAAAATAATAGTTGATTAATGATATCACGGTTGGTATTATGAGCAAATAAACAAATACAATCAAATACCGGCTACGTGCTACTAGATAATAATAATAATAATTATAATAATAATAATTGCAATTGTAAGATCATAGTAATAGAATAGCATCTTTGCTACGGTACAATATTTATTGAATAAGTTTAATGTGGGATTTCTTTTCCCACTCACAGATCCACTGAAATAGGAACAATGGTCTTTTTTTTTGTTATTGGTTACAAAGACAAGGGAATGCGCACATATTCCTCAAATCTCGATTGGTCAACGTCATATGGTTCAATAATTTTTCATGTTTTGTCAAATTTAGATGATTGTGTCTAAGATGTGTGCATTTCCATTGAACCTCGGCTATTGCTTTGGAAAATTAAACAGAATTTGGGATGAAAAAATGGATCAAAAACTCTGATGGGCAACATTATTGTGGAGGGCTCCCTTTAAAATATCGGTATCCACTGGAGCGTCATTAATTGCTACACAGTTCCAAAAATTTGACCATCTTTGCATGGTGAAATCATTACGTTTACATCTCGTATATACTTGAAAGGTGATAATCCCCGAAGATAATGATTTAAACCAGGGCCCAACAATGAACTACCAGTGCTAAAAATTTTCAAATTTAAGGGTTGTTTGTTTAACTCTTAATGGAACCATTCAACGTTGAATGCTGAATCGTTAAGCATTCAACACTTTTGTTTCACACCTATGAATGATTAAGTGCTGACTGATACAGCAAAACAATGCTGAATGATTCAGCACATAAGTACATTCTGAATGATTCAGAGTCATTATCATACATAGCCTCTTAATCATTCAGCATTTGAATCATTTAGCGCTTAATCATTCTGAAATAAACAAACAACCCCTAAATTTAATTATGGTTTTAGGCTTAAAAACTTCGAAATTTTTTTATGATAATAATTTAGTTTCTTTCATAGTTAGATCCATTTCTTATGGTTTCAACGAAAAATTAAAACCAATAATTTAATGATTATTGATCAATATTTTTCGTGAAAGAGATAAATATATAGAGAGAATATGAGAATGAAGAAGGAAAAAAAGGATGTATCTCGTCTCATTCTTAACTGAGAGATATTTGTAGTGATCTTAACTAATGATGTCACACAAAGGATAATTGTAATTATTCGTATGTTACAAATTAAGTAGATATAATTGTTAAATCTTGAAATTTGTTTTGTTAGATCATGCGGGTATGTCAATGATCTCATCTGTATATTATATCAACTTTGAAGACTATGAGACTCTTATATCCGAAATATATAAATTCCTTGAAAATTATGATAAACGAAATAATTTATATGAAAATTACAACCGACCTAAAACTGATAATTTTCAGAAGTGATCTATGGAGTAATAAGTAAACGCAAAGTTATTAATGATACACCTATATTAAGAGGATATGAAATTTTTAAAAATTTATGTAAATATAAATTTTTTTCTTTTGAATAAGTCAAAATTTTATTATCCATAATAGCCAAAAAAGCTACATAAACATACTGAGTCCAAAACAGAACAATACATACAAATAATCAGCAATCAACTATTCTCCAGTGGTTGCAAAGAGAAATATTCACATCAACTCTTTTAAAAATCCTACCTCTAAGTTGTAAACTAATTACATCTTTAACAGTCTTTAATAATTCACTAGCAGGCCTTGAGCGACCTTGGAACATACGTTTGTTACGTTCCTCCCAGAGTAAGTAAACCAGAGCATTAAGAAGAAGCTTCATGATCATTGTTAGCATAGATTTACCCCTCCAAGTTGAGCATGCCCTCTCCACAAAGACATCCCAAGAGCAAAAAGTGAACTGCAAACCAGAAAGAGTGAAAGCAGTTTCCCACATAAGGGTAGCAGTAGGGCATTGTAAAAAGAGATGTTCTCTAGTTTCCAGTTCAGTATTGCAAAAAACACATAAGCAATCATTAATAAGACCCATTCGATGAAGCCTTTTCTTGGTGGGGAGTTTATCCAGAAAAATCATCAAAGTTATCAAACTATGTTTAGGGATATGAAGGGGAAACCAGATTAGTTTCTGTCAAGAGACTTTAGGCCTTATCACCCGAATAGAATCCCAGATTGAACTAGCTTTGACGATACTTGAGGAAAAGAGATGGTGCACTTTTGGTGTCAATTTCATAAGTTTCTTAAGACTCCAAATAGCAGATGGGTTAATATCAACAAACCAGAAGTCTTTGCCCTTGAAAATATAAAAATTTTAATTGACAAAGAATGGGCAGTTTTCGATGATTACTTATAAAAAAACTCGAATTTATTAATGGAATGTTATTAGGATTTAAAAGACCATCAGGGCATGTTCTGCTGTCCGCCAGTTTTTCGCTCAGCACCCGAAGCCTCCATAACATGGAATAAGGAGCAATAATCAGCTGCGATTACTCGCTAAATTGTCCTCATCCAAGTTGATCAGGCTGTCCATTGCTCACTTTTTCTCAACATTTAAGATTCGCAGCTATGGGTCCTAGATTTTGCACATTGTTTTATTTATTGGCACTAACCCACATTTGATTTTGATGACAGTGCTGGAAAGCTTTTGCAAACCACTACTCCAAGACCATCACCGCAGAATCTTGAGATCTAATCTTGATCACACCTGGAGGGACCGCATTTTTTTCACCCACCTCGTTATAATATAATTTAATCCTAAATTTTGTCTTTTGCTAATTTGTTAAAGACATATTCTTTTAGAATTTAATTTTTATATTTTAGATGGATTCAAAAATATATTTAAACACTTCTTTTACTTTTTTTTCAATTTCTGTAAAGAAAACAAAAAATATGCCCGTGTTGTTTTTTCCCTAATAGGATGAAAATTAACTTTTGGGAAGGTAAATCTGGATTCACCAAAACCTTCCAACAAGGATTTCGACACCTTGGTAACCAATATCAGCCATCAGTGAAAAGGATTGAGAAAAGAACAGAATTTACATTTTGCACATCATGTATCCTACACTATCACTTTCCATATTTTCGCTTTCGGATGAAATTCCCAGAATGGGTTTTCTGAAAAACAAGTGTGACCTTTAGGTTAAATAATACTCTCAAAAATCTACATTCCCAAAGCTATATTTCGGAATAATATATCAAACAAATAAATAGATATGTCTAAAAAAGAAGTCTAATATTAGGCTAAGAAAATACGATATTAGAAATGTTAATATTTTTGTAATATTTTCGTTAGAGCATTATCTAAAATGTTCTTTTTTCTTCTGAAAATAATAATATTGGTCGCTACCTAAAATGATTTTTTTATACCAAAAATATTAGTATTAGAAATATTTGTTTTAGATAGCAAAATTAATATTTTTGGTATAAAAAATATCATTTTAAGTAACACTCTACCAAAAATATTAAAAAAATTAATATTTTCAATAATACTTTTATTTAATCTTATATTAAATTGTTGTACATCATAATTATCCTAAATATATATATATATATATATTTATATATATAATTATATATGTGTATGAATTCCCAACCTTAAAGTTAATTTTAATATATATATATATATAAAAAAGAGTGACAGTATGATTTGAAAGGGGAAATAATTTTGATCCGATAAGATGCCACAATACAACAAAGCACGTTGTCCCTATCTTAAAATTTAAGGGTGCGTTTGGTTTACGGAATGTAAGATTACCTCTGGGAATAGGATTACCGGAATGTAACATTACCTAACACATTACTGGGAATGTTATATTACTGTGTTTGGTTTGTTTGGCAGTAATGTAAGATTACAGTGTTTGGTTGAAGGAATAAAAGATTATTAGAATGTATATTTTACCAAATTGTCTTTATTCTATATTTTAAAACAAGTGAATTCTAAATATTTAAATAAAAATTATTTATATAAAAATTCATCGATAATATATTTAAATAAAAATTATTTCTATAAAAATTCATCGATAATATATTTAAATAAAAATTATTTCTATAAAAAATCATCGATAATATATTACTTTATTATTTAAATATATCATGTATTATTTTAATTTTAATTAATATTAAATTTTACATAAATTATCTAAAAATATATTAAAATTTTACAACAACATTTAACTAAATGCTCAATATTAGGGATTTTTAACTTTCACTATGATATTGAATCGACAATGACGATGATTCCGTTGGCTTTCTCATGAATTCGACTTCACATACGGTCCAGCTTGACATTGCATTGTGGGAACTAACTGCGGTTCATACATGATGCATTCACTAGGAGGTTTCTTGTATTTTTCAATCGACAAGGTTTACATACTTCTCTCCAAGACTGTTGTCGAGTACATATGTGATGCATTCAATCAACAAGCGTGTTTGGGAATGTAAGATTTCAACAGATTTGTGTATTCTACACAGTTCTTGTGTTGGTAACAAATTTACAAAATTTCCATTTTGAAGTTACATGTACAACTACATAGTGCAGAAGTGATAAACATGTCTATTTTTTTCGGTTCATAAGTGTACTTGTTTGTTTCGCAAAAGAAATCGCATTGCTTAAGCAAACTGATGTTTTTATTAAGGTCAGCTACATCTCCAGAGGCAGAGTTATGGAGATGGATTGCTTACAAAGATTTTGAGCGAGAAGCCTTCAAGTTCTTGTCTTTTCCAACTTTAAGTCTTCTTTCAACAGGATCATAATTCCTATCGGATCACATACAATAAATCAAATAATCCAATCATAATAACATACTAATCATGTCAGGGAGGAAAGATTCAAAAACTGACAGGAAAAATACTTATTCATGATTCCACAATTTACAGAATCACAATACCATTTCAGCCATTGTAAGAACTCCAAATTGTCCAAAGGTCTGCCTTTAACAAGTTTATTGACTTCAATATGCTGCAAATGGCAAAATTACGGGTGTCAGATTTGAAATAATTCAGGAAAACCATTAGGAAATCTAACTCGTAGAGAACTATTCATGTGGAGGCATATGCTCAATTGCCAACAGTAATGAACAACACATGTTGACCTCAAATCTTAATTCATGAGAGGTGTAGTGTAAGCTTCAACTCCGATAAAAACATCTAAATAGTACCATCTATTTTTATGCCAAAAGCAAAATTTTATATATCCCTCGATCCCATCATGACACTTTTTATATTTTCCCACAATCTCGTTTCGGCCTACTACCGAAAGAGTGCAATTCACATGAGAGCTAACCCACTCTCTGCTTCCTTTTTTTAGGTTTTCAGTAACCCATATGCAAACCGATGTGATGAAGGATACTGAAGGTACATTTCTTTAATTCTTTTAAAACATGTAGTAAAAAAAAAACAGGCAAACTACATATGTTAGCCATTGAAAGAGATTTAATTACCTTGTCAATTTTCAACTTGTTGAATACTTCTTGCAGAAGCTTGTAATTTTGGATCATATCATATTCTGTTTTTACATCAAAATTCACATGCATTCCAATTAAAATCACGGAAAATGATTTTCACGAGGAAAATTAATTAAGAAAACAATGCAGGCACGATGAATAAAGCGAGCTAATTCACCTTGTGCATTGGCACAACTCCTGGATAGGTCATATCTATCAACTGACATTGTATAGCACCAGAGGCAGCCTGGAAGCAAATAGTTATTTAAACTGAAGATAAGTAATGAATGTCAAGATATAAGAGAATACATTTAATAGATTGGTAATATCATATTACATCCGCACGACCTTCAAGATCAAGCTCGAGTCAAATACCTAAGTCAAGCTACAAAACAAACATGAGTTTCTTGTCTTTGTTTTGCAGTTTGACTTAGCTGTTTGAGTCAAGTTTATCGAGTAAGGTTGCACAAATCGCGACAATTACTAAGGAAACCTCAAACCAACCATAGACTGAAATGTCAGAAATACACATATCATCACCCATTTTTGATCCTAATGTAAATTCCATGTGCTCTCATGTTATCCTAATTAAGATGCCATCAGGCATCAAGCAGGGCAGTATAATAACTTGGAAATAGACATAATAACATAGTCATTGGTCTCAGCATTATCCTAATCTACAAAAGCAAGCAAAGGAAGAATGTTCCCAAAATTATTTCTCGGCTTCTGGCTGTATCAGAGGAATTACTGAAGTATAAATAAAAATATTTCAAAATAAGGTTCGAAAAAGATAAAATTATTAACATATTACAAGTACCATTTCTCTACCATGGAAAAAGAACAAGGGAAACCCAACACTTTTCAAGTAAATCAAAGATTAACAAAAGAAATAAATTCAAACATCAGTAAACCTTAAACAAAATTCCAATATGAAAATTTATTAGGATGGGCCAAAACAATCCCATTTTAATGAAGAAAAATATAAACCCATTTCAAACTTCAAAGCATTCTCTCCATTTTCCGTTAAAATTAACCAGAAAAAGGAGGCAAAAAGTGTTCATTTCTAGTAAGAACAAAATGAAACAATCCTACATTGGCATATACAATGCATGAGAAGGCCATCAAATTCAGGAAAAAAAACAACAATAATTAATAAAGAAACAAGAATTACCCATAGAAAAGAATAATTTAGCATATATTAATAAAAAAGTTTACTTCTTCAATGTGAGAGAGATTGAGCTGAAGCCCGCTATTGATCCATATTAAAATCTCATTTCTCCCAACAAAGTAAGCACTATCCATCATACCTATATTCGTCGCCATTTCTCTCTGCTTCCTTTTACTGCTATTGGTTTTATATTTTGTTTGAGCTTATCAAATTATAAACAAAAACCAGAGAAGCTGTGGGTATTAAGAAGGAAATATTAAGGCGAAATCCAAGGGGAGGGGCTTTTGAAAATGATGTTCAAATTTGGATTTTTATTGAATTATTTAGAAAAAGAAAACTAAAAGAAATGGATGGCTGAATTGAATTTTCAACGTCAAAACATAAAGAAAGAAGAAACAAGCGGCAATGACAGCCATCGACCCTCTTTTATTGCGGCAAATGGCAATTGTTATTTTCTCAATAATCTAAATAAAGCATTTTTCAAATAGGGAGAGAGAAACGAACCTAGCAAGAGATTAGCAGATGCAGCAACACAGAAGAAGAAATCCATTGGAGCAAGAGACAGCTCCTCGCAATAACTCTCGCCAAATTGAAGAAGAATATTTTGTTTCAGCCAGAAGCCAGCTAACGGGAGAAGGGTATTTTAGCCAACAGAGGACGGGAATAAACAAATACCTAAGAAGGATGGGGGATTAACATTCCCAGTAAAACAGAGAAAAAAAATCATTGTTGGTATTCAAGGTTTACCCTCACTTGGGAATATGGCCATCCAAACGTGGGTATCTTAACCCAGGAAAAAAAGATTACTCCCAGAAATGTTTTAATCCGTGAACCAAACATGGCCTAAAAACTTTCCAATGAGAAAACTCGGGAAGTTATGACGTATGGTAATTTTAATATACGATAAAAAAATATTATTAAAAATATTATTATTATTTAATATTTTAGTAAAATTTTTTCTAAAAATTTATTATTATTTACTTAAAATATTAATATTTTTTTTATTTTTGATAAAGTATCTAATATTAACATTTTTTTGTAGAAAAATAATATTTTAGATAATACTTTACTAGATATGTTGATAAATCCGACGAAGCACCTAATAATAATAAAATCGATAAAAATAATATTTTTTTAGATATTTTTTTATCATAAATATTAAAAAAATAATATTATTTTCGATATCACCTTTCCTCCGCGAAAACTGCTATCCATCTGTTTAAACAACTTCGAAAAAACAGACAAATAGCGTTGATTGATTAATAGTATGAACAGTTTTGCTTTTGTACGTCGGGGTCATGCCAACTCCTGCCTTTCTTTTCTTTTTTCTGAACCAAAACTTCTGCCTTTCATTTCTTACAGTTTCATTGGGATTTGGAAACTACTATAAAAAGGACACAAAAATGGTTTTCACAGCCAACGTGTATGTAGAAGAATGGAGAACATTATTGAAGGAGCTGTGTATATTTTCAAACGTCAGGTTTCGACAAAAATTACTTGCACAGCTTAATTAATGTGTGCACCAAATAATAGCTCAGGTTAATTTGATTCTGGTGGGACAATGGGCACTGGTGCCTGTATTCTCCCCCCCTAAAATAAGAAAAAGGGTACCAAGCCTAATGGAATCAACAAAGTAAAATCTAATCTGTAATCCCACATGCTTACCTACTTGTTGTTGATCACTCTGTTATGTTCAGTGTCTCCAGCTTGTCAACGGGGTCGTTGGGATTGTCAGCATTTTCTTTTCTTCTTTTAGGTGTGTCCCTGGTGGGGATAAGGATACATTATTTGAGAATTTCCAATTTTAATGAAATTAGATTTAGTAATAACTAATAATATGATTTGCTTACTTTTGAAAATAGCGCTCCAAAATAAGCAGGGATTGCGAGTGCTCGCTTTGGCCCAACTCAAAAGTTGATACTTTCGAATGCCCCATTATCAAAACCTATATTATTTGGTAAAAGTTTGATTTATTCCCTAACTTCTTTCAAAATATAAGATTTACTTTAAATTATTTATTATTTATCTTTCATTTTTATCCGAATTTTAAGGGTGAGACACCCCTTGGTTTTCATTTGTATCGTGGGTTGGGATCAGCTGGGTTATTCAATTGGAGGGTGGTGGATGGTGTTATAACATACGGAGGACAAAGGATATAGAGAGCTGCAATGGATGAACTAATGTCCAAGGGAATATGAAATGCTAATCAGGCACTTCTTTCTGGATGTTCAGTGGGGCTTCCATTCTTCATTGTGTTTCCAATTACAGAAACTAACCAAGTGAAATGCAAGTGACGCAGGCTTGTTCCTCGATGCAATAAATGTGTCTGGTGGCTGTACCTTAAGGGCAACTCCGCTCCGTGCAAAGATTTAATTCTCATTTTTTTTCTTTTTATTTTTTAGCAGTGAATCTAAAATATTACTCTCTAATGTATAAACACGGCGACAATGGGATAGACGCAGGGTTCCAATTTTTTTATAAAAAAAAAGCTTAAAAGAGAGAGAAGATATTAAGAGTGTCAGTGCAGTTTAGATTTAACGCGTGTCAGTTAGGCAGCTGTATCCCAAACAACATTTCCGGTAACCGCTTAAATGGACCCCTGGGAGGCCACAGCGCTGTGTTTCTCTTTACAATTCCAACCGATTACTTCCGCTCCTCTCTTATATATCCCCGCCATCGTCTCTCTCCCCCTGGCCTCCCCTTAATTAAACCCTCATTTTTCCTTTTGCATTGCTTTTAATCTTGATTTCTATGAATGTAACCAGCATATCCAACGGAAAAGAAATGGATCGGATCAAAGGACCATGGAGCTCCAACGAAGATAACTTGCTCCAAGAACTGGTCCAAATGCTCGGACCCAGAAACTGGTCTTTGATCAGCAAATCAATCCCGGGTCGATCCGGAAAATCCTGTCGTCTCCGATGGTGCAACCGTCACCCCAAGTTCACCACCGTGCCTTCACCGCCGAAGAAGACGAGGCCATCATTCGTGCGCATACTAGGTTTGGTAACAAGTGGGCAACCATAGCTCGACTCCTCAACGGCCGAACCGATAACGCCATTAATAACCACTGGAACTAGACGCTAAAACGTAAGTTCTTATCGGTTGGGGAAGAGATAAATATATCAATAACGATGGGTATGATGGTAATTTGGAAGGGGAAGAGCGACAGCTGTTGAAAAGAGCGGTGAGTGCTGAGCAGTATAGGAGCCCGGGAAGTCCATCCGGATCCGGTGTGAGCGATTCCAATGTTCCCGATTTATTATATTCGTCATTGTACAATCCCACCGAAACGACCCGAGGGGTTAAGATTGACTTTGACGTAAACGCAATACCAGCAGGGTTCGAAGCGGCGGCATCTTGCAACGATCCAACGACCTCGCTGAGTCTGTCATTAACGGGGCCCGAGTCATGCGAGGTGTCAACACACCCAGTCACTGAGTCAACTCAGAAGATAAAAGAAGGGAAAGATGAAGGTGAGATGAGGAGGTTCATAACGGAGTTTATGGCGTTGGTTCAAGAGATGATAAGAGTGGAAGTCAGGAATTACATGGTCCAGATGCAAGAGCAAAAAGGTGCAGTTTATGGTGGAGGAATGGGATGTGTTTGAGTGGCGGGTTCAGGAAGGTGGTTTTGAACCGAGGTGGGGTGAGTTGGACTCATATCGAGTAAATTTCAATCTGAAGCTAGATGCGATGGACAAAAAAACTACTTGCGTGGCAATGGACAAAACTTTCGAAATAATATTTTGAAAGAAATTAATTCACGAGCTAATGCATTCTTAAGATTAATTGATCAAATAGGGTGAAATCCATAGTGTTGGCCGTAGGTCGCCATGCACTCCGGGCGACCTACCCTTGCTCAAACAGAGAGAATAAACGTGTTGTATGGCATATGCACGTCCCAACACATAGGTCGCCATGCCCTGCGGGCGATTTTGTAGGTCGCCATGCCCTCCGGGCGACCTACCCTCGCTCGGCTTCCCTTGAATTCCTTCGCATAGCTCGCTCGGATGCCCTCGCATAGCTCGTTCGGATGGCCTCGGATGCCCAGCGTGTTGGGACGTGCATGGCACATGCAATCTCTTGTAGTTCGCCGGGAAGACATGACGACCTAGTAGGTCGCCCGGAAGGCATGGCGACCTACGGCCAACACTGTGGATTTCACCTTATTTGAACTATTAATCTTGGGAGTGCTTTATCTCGTGAATTAATTTTTTCCAGAACATTATCTTGAAAGTTTTGCCCGTGGCAATGTTTCTTTAATATTTTAGGTGACAGAAAATATTTTTTTACTTAAAATGTTAATATTAAAATATTATTTTTCTATTAAAAATGTTAATATTAAACGTTACTTAAAATGTTATTTTTTTACCGGTTTTTAAATAACAAAATTAACATTTTCTGTAGAAAAATAATGTTTTAAGTAACGTTTTATCAGAAATATTAAAAATTATAATAATATTTTTTATAATATTTTTCCTTAACTGTATATTAAAATGCGGTATGACAACTACTGAACATAAAATGGAAGGATCGAAAACGAAAATTTCCTTAACTATCAGTCTAGAGTCTAGTCTCTCAAAAGTAATAAAAATTTATATATTTTAATCAATTATAAATTTAAAAAAAGGAAGAAAATGCAAGTGACGATTAACCTCAACCACTACAACTGCCGAGTTTTAAACATGTTTTGAAACTCAGGACTTTCAAATTTTTATAGAGAAAATAATTTCAGTGACAAAAAATACCTTATAATATATGAATTTAACCATTTTTTTTATTTTCCAAAATGACCAACAAATTCGCAACGCGAATTCCAATATCGCAACGCGAATTCCAATTTCGCAACGTGAATTCCAATTTCGCAACGTGAATTTGTAAATCGCAACACAAAAGTCAAATTCGCAACGCGATAGTCAAATTCGTAACGCGAAAGTCAAATGTTTTTACGCGAAACACAATATTAATTTCGCAACACAAATGTAAACAGTATTATCGCAAATCATCTCTAACCTAAAACCCTAAAGCACAACTCAGTCTCAATTCTATCTCTCACTCTCTACGGCGACATCTGTCCCCATCTCCGACGAATTCCGTCCCCATTTCTGACGAAATCCGTCTATCTCCATCTCTCAAAACAACCCTCATAACCATTCACGGCCAGAAATGGAAAATCAACCACCGATGGTTAGTTTTTTAATTATTATTTTTTTGAATTTTTTGTATTAATATTAGATTAACCATTTCACTGAGATTGCTAAATTCATTCGGTTGCTGTCAATACTGCTAAACTGTTTAGTCTTTAACCCTGTGAAGTTAGTATTTGTCTTTGTTTTATCTTTTTGTTGAAAAAACCCTAAATCGCAACACCAAATTCGCAACGCGAAAATGAATTCAATGTTCATTTTCGCGTTGCGATTTTCATTTTTGCGTTGCGAATTTAAGTTTTAGAAACTTCTTTTATTCTGCAAATTGAAACTTGAATGAATTACATTACTTCAACAAAAAAATAAAGACAAATACTAACTTTACAATGTTACTAATTTAAGTTTCAAGAATAAACTACTACTCTTTATGTTGTCCTTGAACCTGCACTAAACCTATATGTTGTCCTTTTAAATGTTTATACAAGTGCTTACTTCTGGAATGTTATCTGATGCATTTTGTGAACTATGATGGAATAATGACTTGGGTGAATACCGTGCTAGTTTGAAACATATTTGACTTTGTTTTCACTGTTTAATATCATGTCTGTTTATAGTATATAATTTGTAGTTTTTGGTATATCTAACTTGGTATGTTTATTGTTTTTGTAGAAATTTTTTTCGGCTGCATTGACCTTAAGGAATAAATTAAGCCTAACCACTAAAATTGCATCGACGCTTACACCTCTACAAAGAAAATTATTTGAGGATACTTGCTTCGGGCCATGGCTGAAAGTGCAACATACGGGTGAAGATGCTATGTTGACACATTTGTTTCTTCAGACCATGACTAACGATCTACCCGAGGGGGTACAACGTGGTGATGAGGAGATATGGTTTCATTTTCCTCCGGCACTGGCGTATACTTGTTTTGGGCGGGAGAACCGGTTTATGCTTCGGACACGATGATGTAGGTCAGTACACTAGTCATATCGCCCGCCCATCATGGTTATATCGGGTTTTTCCTGAGCTGGCAAAGTCGAAGCCAAGTATACACGTTGACGACTTGAAGAGATTATTTGATAAATATGGTTTTACTCGGATGGATGACCTTGATGTTGTCCGAGTATGCCATTTATTACTTTTGCATGCCGGCTTTTTAGGCAAAGAGGACAGACAACCAATCTCCGAGGACCTAATATTATTGGTAGAGGACCTAAATGCATGGAACCTGTTTCCGTGGGGTTCATATCTATGGAAAGCTACCTGGAAGAAGTTGTCGTCTGCCTTTGAGGACCGAAAAAGTTTGTGGGGCGATGGTTCTAAATACACTTTGACAGGCTACTTGGGCCTTTAAGGTAAGAATTTCTATATTATAATGTTTTCAAAATTATAATTAATTATTTAACAATTACTAATGTTTGTGTATTATATTGTTTGTAGATTTGGATATTTGAGGCTTTCCCCAGCATGCATACCTATGCGATAAAAAGATCAAATGATATTCCTAGGGCTATTACCTGGAAAAGGATCCGCATGTTGGATTGGGAAGAGTTACTCCCATATACGACGATGAATGATGTAAGTTAACACACAAATAATACCATATAAACAAGTTATTACTAGTACAAGTTTAACTTTATTTGAGCTTTTATATTGTTAGGTGACCAACTATCCATTACAGAGGCTGACACCCAAAGAGGCTGAGCTTGCCACTGATTGGTGGCAAGCTAGTAAGCGGATTTTTGATGGGACGGATGATGAGCACCCCTCACCTCGAGAGCCATCACATGATCGGGCCGATTCTACAGCTCGACACCCGGAGCCATCACCTGATCGAGCCTATTCTCCACCTCCACCATCACATCACCGAGCCTCTTCTCCACCTTCACCTCATGATAGGTGACCGGCAAAGATGCCACGGCATTTATCTCCCTGTTCTCCACCTCCACGGGATGAGTTAGGGGAATTACGTGATGAGGTCGGTGCTTTGCGTCATGAGGTCGATACTTTACGTGAAGATAATGGTGCATGGCGTGATGAGGTTCGATCTTTACGTGGTGAGGTGGATTTTTTACTCGATGACAATGGTGCGCTACGCGGTGAGGTGTCTACTTTACGTGATGAGGTTGCCGCTTTACGCGAGATTGTTTCATTGTTGCAGAATGAGGTTAATACTCTACACAATGAGATAAATTTGTTTAATACTATACTAAAAATGCAAATAACTTTTTTTCGGCATTATTTATTTATTTATTTATTGATTTTATATATTAATTTATTTTCAGCGGCCCGATAAGATAGATGTTTTACGTCGGGTTTTTCTTGCACGACGAGATTCAT